CTTTTATAGGGACACACCAGGAACCCAGAGAAGCAGTAGCCTGAGAACCTGTAGGCCTGTGTCCTCCAAACCTGGCTCACTCACCCATGGGTTGAAGCAAACCCCTTAGGTCTCTGGATCCCCTCTGAGGTTGGCTCAGGGGATCTCTCAGGTCTCTCAATTCTGAACGTTTGAAAGTTCCCTGATTCTATTGTCAGAACCACTGGGGGGCACTTAGAAGCCTGCTAATCTGAACCTGTTAAAGCAATTCCTCAAGCCCCTTGGTTGTACCTTTTCCTCAATTTCCTTCTTTGTTAGTTTTGACATAAAAGCAGTTTTTGAGAATTTTATCAAAATAATAAAACATTAGGCTGGGCGCAGCGGCTCATACCTGTAATCTCAGCACTCTGGGAGGCTGAGGCGGGCAGATCACTTGAGGTCAGGAGTTCGAGACCAGCCTGGCCAACATGGTGAGACCCCCATCTCTACTAAAAGCACAAAAATTAGCCGGGCATGGTGGCGGGCACCTGTAATCCCAGCTACTTGGGAGGCTAAGGCAGAAGAATTGCTTGAACTCAGGAGGTTGCAGTGAGCCAAGATCGCACCACTGAACTCCAGTCTGGCAACACAGTGCCACTCTGTCTCCAAAGAAATAATAATTATAAAACATTTTTTGTATCAAAATTCTATTAATAAGAATTTGAGGACAGACCCTCCAGGAGTGCTCTAGCCCTCTCTAAGGCTGTAGTGGGCCCTATTGAGGGCTTTCTGCAAGCAAGCCAGTGGATGAAAGTGTTACGTCACCCTGAGGTTACACGCAGACAGAAAAAGCAAAGGGTGCTGGCCTCCTCCCACCTCTCACTTCACATCAGCAAACATTACTGAAAACTATTTCTATGTCACCTGCCAAGTTAGCTACTAGGACACCAAGGTAATCATCACTAAACCCAAGGAGCCCACAGTCCAGAAGGAGAAGTCGAAAGAGTCTCCCAGTTAGTAGCAAAATTTTAAAAAGCAGATTTCCTTTTGCTATGGAAGCTGACTGATAAGGACAGCAGGGAAGGAGGGGACTAGAGACACTGTGCGACTCGTTTTTGTGTTCTGGTTAGTCCTGGCCCACTAACACACTGTGCCAAGCCTGACAAGGGACTGTGTCTGCTAGGCCACAACCACCTTCTGCGGCAACTTGGGCAAACTTAGAACTGAACAGGTGACTTGAAGGTGAAGGCTGATGATGGAAAAGACAGCCTCTTCCTTCTTCCTGTGACCAGCACAGCCAGCCATGCAATCCTCTTTAAAATAATTTGACTTTTTAGAGAGTTGATCCTTTCCTTCCATTTAAACAACACTAAATGGTCAGGAATTGAAGCATCTGAACTTCTATGACAACAGTACCACAACCTTCAGGGGTTGTAGGACAGACGTCCCAGGAGCGCTCGAGCACTCCTGCTTTCCGCAAGTTGCGTGTAGAGAAACAATAAGGCTCAGTGAGAGTTTCGGTGCCCTTGGAGTAGTCAACTTCTCTTCTACTGTAAAAAGTGTGTGTCTGATATTAACTTCCCCAGGTGATGGGAGCAAACTTATACAGTGCAAAAGAAATAGAAAAGCCCTTATCAGGCATGCACTGTGAGCTGCCACCACATGAGCCATCTTTACAAAGGCGTCACTGACTGACCAATTCAGAAACTTTCACCTTGGAAACTCCACCCAAATCGGACACTCCTCTTTTTTAACAGAGCAGGCAATGCTCAGAAATAAACAAAGTACTTCCCTCTGTGGCTGCCTCTGGTCAGGCTACTCTGTGCTGCATCTCACCAGCCGCTGAGGAACTGTCTGCCTGCTGACCCACTACTTGTTAGGAATGAAAGCAAGTGAGGACGGTTTCAGGAGTGGAGAGAAGGAGTGGGAGAAATCTCTCCATAGTGAGAGCCTTTTGTGTCACATGAGTTCGGTATATCAGGTTCATCAGCTCATCCTTGAAAACCTCTAACATTTGTTCTTCACTACACAGAAAAGCGTATTGTTTACTGGACTCTAGAAGCAAGCAACTTGCTTGTGGGTTACCAGCAAACATTTTTTATTATGCAGTCACCGTACCACATCCCAAGGACTAAATGAAACGCAGCACACATCACCAGAACATTTCAGATGACCCGGAATAATCCCAGTCCTTGATCTCTAGTGCTTATTATTGGAACATTGTGAATTAAACAAACTCCATGGAAAGATACTCTTCACATACGTTCACCTAGACACATGCAGTCTACGCAAATACACACTGGTTCCATGAAGAACAATCCAAAATAAAAGTGATTCTTTCCTTTCTGGTAAAGAACATTAAATCTATTTTAATTACATAGAAGTACACAGTAATGAAAAGAGGCACCCTAAAAGAACTGAGTTGTAAGCAATAAGGAAAAAATGATATGCAAATTATAGACACAATTTTCATGTTGCATTTAAGAAAGCGTTTTGCTTGGGATTGGTTCTGTATGTGAGTAAGGCAAAGGGCTGTTGTACTCTTTTTCCGACTGGAGCACAATGAAACAAACCACTCAGTAGCAGTCTGCAGCCAGCACACCACCATAAGCCCATCAGAACGGTGGGGATGCAGTTTAGAAGAGAATCAAGAAAGGTCACAGAAAGCATTGCTTTTTGTTGTTTTGTCCTAAAGTTACTGATCTGTAATTGGTCCAGATTTTCCTGATGTTGGGTTTATTGCCACTGAGCTAAATACAATTTATTGATTGAATACCCTAGTCTTAAGTTACCTCTATGTTATGAAGCATCAAATAAATCAGATTACCTATACCGCAGGATTTTCCTGAACTGGGTGTAGAATCTAATTTATACCACAAAAGAAACTGGTTTTGAAGTATTAATATCAAAGTACCCCAAGTTCTTTAGTGTGGCACGCCCCATGCCCACAGACATACTGCTACCTCCAGATATGTACAAACACAAAAGCGTAAAAGTTCCATTGGGCATTTTTGTGAGGCAAAAACAAAGAAGCCCAACACACCTTTTGATTTCACATTAGCCTCTCCTCAAACCCATGAAAATGTTTTCTGGTAAGAAACACCAAAATGTGATTCTAATTATAAAAAACCTAGTAAGCCTGTATGATGAACTACTGCGTTTCCCCTACACAGATTCTAATTGAAAGGCAGTGTTAAAACAGGAAGGGTTTTTCTACAGACGAAGAAAACAGGTTACTTGTCCATTGTTGCTGTAATGTCCATTCAATGAACATACATTAAATAGGCCAAACCAAAAACAAAACTTCAGCAGCTTCAGCCTCTCACAGGGGCGGAAGGCTTTCTACCTGGGTACTGGTGGAATAGTGAAATGAATAAAGTGTACAATAAATGCAGCGATGGGAAAAATAACTGGGGTAGACGGATAAATCATCCTGCCTCCCAATGGTGGCAAACTTTACAACAACTTTTCAGAAGCAACAAACCGCAGCACCACAGTCTTTACAGATATATAGACATGCATACACACAACTACTGGGTAGCCCAGCAGTGTGTTTACAAACATCCACCGCCCTGCATTTACAATACTGCAAAACCGGCCAGAAAGCTGGGAGGGTGCTGCTCTTAGATATCCTCTCTGCACTGTCAAACACAGAAGGTCAGTTTGCCTGGTTTGCTTAGTTCTTCCTCTCCCTGCATCACAGGAGTTTTCTACTTTGGGATTGCTCAACTTTCATATGGATCAGAGTAAAATAACTATTCAGCAACTTTATTCACCTAGGTTAAAAAAAAAAAAAATTCATTGTGCAATGCCTAGGAAAAGCTGACACCAGGACTGCCTCTCCGACAGCACTTGCAATTACAATCAGACGAGGGGGAAAAAAATCATGTCTGATCAGACCCAAAGAGTCCTTTAAAAAAATGAAGAAAAAGATTCTATCGCAGCTGGGACTGAAGAACTTTTTTTCTAAGAAGACCACCCCTCGGGGACAAAAGTTACATTTCAGTCACATGTTGGGTGTAGGAATAGGGAGCAGGTTTTTGGGGGGTTTTTTAAGCGCACTAATTACGGGGGTGTTTTACAGTTCTGGAGACAATCCGGGTTGCTCCTGACCAATTGTGACCGGCATTTCATTGTCAAAAAGCAAGAGGGTGGGGGCCGAGGAGCCGGCAGGGGCTCGGCGGTGGGGAGTAGCAAGGTTACGCTAAAGGGTACAGCCGCCGCCGCGAGCTGCATCTCCTTCCCTCGCGCCCCAAATAATTTACTGCGAACAGAGCAACTGCAACAGCCCGCTCTGAGGAGCCCAGCACGACTGCCCTGGCCGGTGCAGCTCAGGGTTTCCACCACGGAGAGGGAGGGGAGAAGATTTTTACCTTAATGCTACACTGAGCAGGAGTCTCAGACATGTCTCACAGCGAGAGAGATCAGGAAGTTCTCAGGTTTTTTCCACTTTCCTTTCCTCTCCCCAACCCAGAAAGGCTCCACGGCCAGCCGGACGCGGTCATTTAAGAAGTTTCTTCCAGCATCTCTCCCGGCAGCCGCCCCGGGGGTCTGGAGCGCGCGGGGCGGGGCGGGGCGGCCGGCGGAGTTGGGCGCGCGGGGCGGCGGGGGCGTGGGAGCCGGGCCCGAGCGCGGCGGCGGGGTCTGCAGGTCGCGGCGCGGCGCGGGGACCCGGGACGCAGCCCGGCCAGCCTCCCGGTCTCTCCTCCCACCCGCAGCCGGCGCCCCCGCCCCCCGCCCTCCCGCCGCTCTCCCTCGCTCTCTCGAATGTTTTCCTTCCTGGAAGAGAGAAACTGAAAGGCAGAACTGAGAAAGCTCTTTGCTCATTGATCTTGAGAGTTTCAGTGCAGAAACTGACGTGAATTCCCAGCACTGAGCTCTGCCTCTTAAAGGAGCCACCAGGAAATAAAAGCTCGGGTTACAGCCCGGCATCGGGGAAATAAAAGCCGCGCGGGGGAGGGGCGGCCGCGGGGGCGCGGGCGGAGGAAACCCGGGGAGCGGGGCCGCGCGAGGCCGCGGCTGCTAGCAGGGCGAGCGGCGCAGCCCCCCAGGCCGGCCCCCGGTGCGGGTGCCCGCCCTCCACGCCGCGAGACCTCCCGCTGGCGGAGCCAATTTCCGGGCTTAAGGAAGACACCTTTAAAAAACGTTACATCGTGGCCCCAGACACCACAAAACAGGTTTTATTAAACTCCTCCCACCTCCCCTGGCTCCATCTCTTGGATACATCGATTTGCACAAGGGTTTTGAAACGTTTCCCTAAGCGCAGATGCAACGAAAGTAATTATCTATGAAGGGCCATTCCGGTAAGGACGCGGAATCCGAAGGAGGAAATAAAACAATAGCCTTTGTTCTGCTTCTCGACCGCTGCCTCTTTAAGAGAATCCACCAGGAAATGGGAGATCGGGTTACAGCCTGCACACGGGGAAATGTGGGGAGAGCGGGCGCCCGAGCGCGACGCCGGAGACAAAGCCGGGGCGGCCGCGCTGTAGACGCTGGGGGACCGCCGGGCGGGGGGATTCCCGGGGAAGGTGGGCGCCCCGGAAAGAGGTGGCGCCGCGCGCCCGCTTGGGGATGCGGCGGCCGCGGGCGCTTCCCCAGCCGAGCACGCGCTCCGGGACGGGAAGGTTGCAGGGCAGTTATCAAAGGCAGCTGAGTTCCTTTTCCTGACCTCCCCCTCCTGTTTCGAAATCTACTGCCCTTTTAAAGAAATAGCGGCCGCCACCAACCGAAATAGGTGACTCGACTACAAACTTGGCAGGACGTGTTCCTGCAGATAATACCCCTCCCCAGGACCGCTTCTGTGAAACCGTCATTGGCCGGTTGATTGGATGGCCCTGGGATCCTGCAGGGGGAGGAATATTTGGTTGGAAAAGCAGTTGAGGGTGGTTGAGGCCGTTGGGACTGAGGGGTCTAGCCTTGAGCACAAGTGGTCTGATTACTTTATTATTTTTATTATTATTTACAGTCTCTTAAATTGCCCTGAAGTGTCCACCACAAAAAACTGAGAACATTATCATTATACTTAAATTCTAACCTTGTTAACACATATATGGGGGTTTAATATGTGGATGTGTAATGTAAAACGAAATTTGTTGTAATTTCGTCTCTATTGAGTAATATATTAAATATGGTATAAATATGTATATACCCATATATGTTACCTGCACCGAACCAGGACACATTTCCCCGAGTCTCCCCACCCTACAGATTTTGCCTACCCACTTTTCTTCACCTCTCCATATTATGAAATGTGTTCAGACTTGTATACACAATACTTTTGTTCACACATTGATCAGATCACTCCGAACGAGGCTAGGGTGGGAAAGAGTGCTGTTGCTGGGATGGTGGGAACTGGTTTTTGTGAGCCTCCAGGAACCTGAACAGTGTTTGTCAACTGGTAGTCCTACTCTCCAAGAGATCTCAGTCTTGTCCACACCGACTCCTCTGCCTTTGACCACCCCCTTCTTCCCTTTAACAAATCTGTATTCTTTTGCTTTTCATAATTGATGTTGCAGACATTGGTTCAGATGTCCCATTGCTGGGTTATGTCTTCTACATCACTTAGCAATGTGATCCGTGACAACTCAGTTACTAAGCTTCTGTAAAATGGGGAGAAATAGTACCTAGCTTATAAGATTATCTTATTAAATCAGAAAATATATACAAATGCCTCCTTAGCAGAGAGCAGCACAATATATGTGCTCAGTTAAAGTTGGCTACAATTATTATTTAAGCCCAGGACTAAATTAGTTCTTGACTTTTCTTCCTAACTCCTCCTCAACGTCTACAAGTGATTCATAGAAGTAGTAGTTTGAAGTAAACTGTTTGTGGTTCCAAAGCAAAAAACATAGTTGACAACTGTAGCAAAAGCTACATTTAGACCAGGGGTTGCCAGTCTCTGTAAAGGGCCGTGTTGTAAATGCCTTAGTCTTTGTGGGCCGAGAGACAAAATTGAGAATGTCAGGTAGATACTTACATAACATGACGAGAAAAAAGTTCACAGTTTTTTATTTTATCAATTCAAAGTGTAATAATACAATTTTAATACAGGTATACTAATGAAAGGCATGGAATTCTTTTGGGGGGAAATAACATTTCACTTGGTGTTCAAAGTGTTCTTTCATAAAAATTGACTGCAGATGTTCATCTATTAATGCTGATTTTTTATGAGATTTTATGTACTTCATTTTTGAAATGTCTTTCTACCCAGACAGGTACTGCCAAAGACTGGTATCAACCCATGAGCACGTGATTTTACTTGAGTGTATTCATTGCTTAGAAGGCATTTCTAAAATTCTATTAGAATTCTATAAAATCTCTTGATATTTCCCCTTTAGGATGCCATTACATTGCAGATTAATCACTTCCAGTTGAAGGTTAAATGGAAGCTTCTCAGTTGCACAGTTAAGTAAATTTTAAATATGAAAATTTCCTTTGCACTTGCATTGAAATTCAAAAAACACTGTTGGTACTGTAGTTTGAGTTCAGAAAAACATAACTGCTGCAAATTTGTGTTGGAATGGAGATCTTGCTTCTTGTTTTAACTTTTGACAGCATGAGAAGTGTGTAAAACAGCTTGACATTATTTGTGATTCAAACAATGTTAGTTGTGTCAAAATGATTTTACTGCAGTTTTAAGTTTTGCATGCAAGCCCTATTTTGCCTTGTAGTTTTAGGTTAAATTCATAAAGAAACATTATCAAGTCTGTAGTAAAAGCTTATTGGCAGAGCCATTCGGCATTCAATAATAGTGGTTGAGGGAAGTTCTTCTCATTCATTCATTTCCATTTGTCGCTTGTTTCTCTGTTCCTTGTTTTCTGAGAACTTCTTTTGGGTAAATTGGATTTTTTTTTTCATATTCCATTTAAATTATTAGATTGTCTTTTTAGATTTTCTTCTTTATGTTAAATATGGGGGTTGCTTTAGAAATTACAATTTGCGTATGTTATTATCACAGTCTACCTTTAAATAATATGCTGTTTTATGAATCTGTTAAAAAGTTACAGTGTAATTCCATTTATCCCTCTTCCATCCTCTGTATTGTTGTCTTATATTTTACTTCTACATGTTATAAAATTCATTTTACCTTGTATTTTTATGGTATTTAGAAATTTGTAAATATATGCATATAATGAATGTATTAAAATATGTCTCTCTTTAATGTGCCCAGATATTTATCCTTTCTAGTACTTTTTTAATCCTTCTTGCAGATCTGCTTTTCCATCTGGTATCTTCCCTTTGGCCTGAAGAACTTCGCTCAGCATTGCCTGTGTGTTGTTTGTTGGAGAAGCCTCTCAGCTTTTGTCTGCCTCTAAATGTCTTTATTTCACTTTTGAAGGGTATTTTTACTGTATGTAAAATTTTATGTTGACATTTTCTTTTCTTTCAGCACTTTAAACATGTCATTCATCTTCTGACTTCATATTTTGATTAAAAAAATCACTTGTAGTTCATATTTTGGTGCCCCGTGTACAGTGTTTTTTCTGTAGCTGCTTTGAAGATCTGCTCTTTAAATTTGTTTTTCAGAATTTTGACTATGATGTACACAGGAGTGGTTTTCTTTGCATTTATCATTTATTCTCCTTGATGTCAGCTGCAGTTATTGGACCTGTGGGTTGGTATCTTTCATTAGTTTTAGAAAATTGTCACTGCCGGGCCAGTGGCTCACGCCTGTAATCCCAGCACTTTGGGAGGCCGAGGTGGGCGGATCACGAGGTCAGGAGATCGAGACCCTCCTGGTGAACACGGTGAAACCCCGTCTCTACTAAAAATACAAAAAAATTAGCCAGGCGTGGTGGCAGGCACCTGTAGTCCCAGCTTCTAGGGAGGCTGAGGCAGGAGAATGGTGTGAACCTGGGAGGCGGCGGAGCTTGCAGTGAGCGGAGATCGTGCCACTGCACTCCAGCCTGGGCGACAGAGCAAAACTCCATCTCAAAAAAAAAAAACGAAAATTGTCATTTATTATCTGTTTGAATATTTTTACACCCATTCTGTTTGTTTCCTTTTTTATCCTTAATACAAGTATTAGGCCATATATTATTGTTCCATGTATCTCAAATACTCTGTTTTATCCCTTTGTATTTCTTTTTTTTTTTTTTTTGAGATCAGCTTAGGCTGGTCTCGAACTTCTGGTCTCAAGCAGTCCTCCTGTCTTAGCTTTCAAAGTGAGATTACAGTGCTAGCCACCACACCTGGCTTGTTTCAATTTGAATGCTTTCTACTTATTTCTTTTTAAGTTTCCTTCCTCTGATTTTTTCCAATTTACTGTTAAGCCTATGTAATCCTCTTTTGTTTTGTTTTGTTTTGTTTTGTTTGAGATGGAGTCTCGCTCTGTCGTCCGGGCTGCAGTGAAGTGGCGCTATCTCGGCTCACTGCAATCTCTGCCTCCCAGGTTCACGCCATTCTCCTGCCTCAGCCTCCCTAGTAGCTGAGACTACAGGCACCTGCCACCATGCCCAGCTCATTTTTTTGTATTTTTAGTGGAGACGGGGTTTCGCTGTGTTAGCCAGGATGGTCTCGATCTCCTGACCTTGTGATCCGCCCGCCTTGGCCTCTCAAAGTGCTGGGATTACAGGTTATTCATTATTTACTTTCTTGCTCTGTCTCCCAGGCTGGAGTGCAATGGCACAGTCTCGGCTCACTGCAAACTCCGCCTCCCGGGTTCACGCCCTTCTCCTGCCTCAGCCTCCCGAGTAGCTGGGACTACAGGTGCCTGCCACCATGCCCAACTAATTTTTTTTTTGTATTTTTTTTAGTAGAGATGGGCTTTCACCGTGTTAGCCAGGATGGTCTCGATCTCCTGACCTTGTGATCTGCCTGCCTTGGCCTCCCTAAGTGCTGTGATTACAGGCGTGAGCCATGGCACCTGGCCCATATTTTCCTTTTTTATGTGTATCTGTGTGTTTCCATATTTTTTGACCATGTGCTGGACATTTTTATGTAGAAATACAGTAGACAATTAAATTTTTTTTTTTTTTTTTTTTTTGAGACGGAGTCTCGCTCTGTCGCCCAGGCTGGAGTGCAGTGGCGCGATCTCAGCTCACTGCAAGCTCCGCCTCCCGGGTTCACGCCATTCTCCTGCCTCAGCCTCCCGAGTAGCTGGGACTACAGGCGCTGCCACCACGCCCGGCTAGTTTTTTGTATTTTTAGTAGAGACGGGGTTTCACCGTGTTAGCCAGGATGGTCTCGATCTCCTGACCTCGTGATCCGCCCACCTCGGCCTCCCAAAGTGCTGGGATTACAGGCGTGAGCCACCGCGCCCGGCCGACAATTAAATTTAAAAATTAAAAATTAAATTTAAAAAATGTCTTCCAAGAAGGAAGTTGGGGCTCAGTTGATATGATCTGGAGTTGGGCTGGGTTTGGGTTGTGATTCAAGTTTAGTTTGATTCAATTTACCATAGGCTTCAAATATTTTGAAGGCAAGATTAGGATTTTTCCTATAAGCAGATACCGTCTTAGAGCTGTTACTCTCACCTGACTGGTGTCCTCCTTAGCTTCAGGTCTTAGGGGAAGATCTTTCTGCTCCTGCTGTCCCCTCCCTGCACCAGTCTTTCTTAGCTGACGGCCTGGAGTGCTTGGGGATTTTCTTTCAGCTCTCTTGCCCCTCTACAAGTCTTTCTTAGCTGAAACCCCAATGTGTCTCTGAAAGTTTTCATAACTCTTTATTGCCCTTGTGTTTGTGGTCCTACCCCGGGAGTTAGTGAATATCAGTGAGAAATAATTGCGAGGTAGTATGGTTTTGCTCTGTGCCTATGGCTCCTGTGGATTCTAACCTGTCACATCAGCCACACACTTTAAAATGTGTTAAAAGTTAGGCTGCTTTCTCCTTACCGTTAATTATGGTGATTCCTCCTCTTTCCATTTCAGTCAGGGATGAGAACTGTGGCTCTTTCCTCTCATATGAATGATTGTCGCTTTCTGAAGGTTAGTTCACCTATGTTTCTTTGTGCTGTCATATCTGTGATTTTTTTAAACTATAATTATTTAGATTATCTGGTTTGTTTTGGGTGTTAGAGAGTGAATTACGATCTCTTAGGATTTTCTACACACAAACCTGTATGTCTAACCTTTATTCTCCAAAAAGAGTGATGGGGAGGGGCAAAGAGTGGGGAAGGATGAACATTTAAGAACATGTGGAAGTGCCGGGCGTGGTGGCTCACGCCTGAAATCCCAGCAGTTTGGGAGGCCGAGGTGGGTAGATCACGAAGTCAGGAGTTCAGGAACAGCCTGGCCAAAATGGTGAAACCCCGTCTCTACTGAAAATACAGAAATTAGCCGGGCCTGCTGGCGGACGCCTGTAATCTCAGCTACTTGGGAGGCTGAAGCAGAGAATTGCTTGAACCTGGGAGGCGGAGGTTTCAGTGAGCCGAAATCATGCCACTGCACTCCAGCCTGGGCGATAGAGCAAGACTCTGTCGCAAAAAATAAATAAATAAATAAATAAACAAACGTGGAAGTGGATGCATTTTATTTGAGAATTTGTAGTCGTTATCATATAATGTTATATTTGAAAAATGAAAGTAATTGCATGCTAAACAATACAAACTGCAAAAGCAGATACCATGGCTATATCTATGCCAGACCAGAAATTCCTCAACCTAATGGGCATGTTTCCTTAAGAAGGGTCTCTCATAACTGATGAAAAGGGAGAGAAGAGGAGAAGTGTGTATGCTTATCCAAGTAAGACATGGAGTTTCAAATATTGAGAATTAGTGCCCTAAGCTATATGTTTCCTTTATTATACAGTCATCATACAATCAGAGCAGAAGTGTGTGTGTGTGTGTGTGTGTGTGTGTGTGTGTGTGTGTGTGTGTTCTGCTTCTTTGATTACGTGCTGACTAACATCATAAAATATATTTAAGGCAGCCATTTGGGAAGAGGAGATGAATGTAAAGTGGGTGAAACAAATGACAAACTAGAACTCAAAAGCATGAAGTGGATCTCGTGAGAGTGGACCAAAACCCATGTTAATTCTCATTGCCTCTGACCTTGATGGCCTGGGTGTTCTCTACAAGCTGGGGTCCTTTGCCATGGAACTAAACACCCACATACCTGGCCCAGGAGTTGCAGAAGCTGAAGAAGGATCATCTCAAATGTGGAGTCGTTGCAGCCCCAGTCACTGGCTCGTTCCCATGAGGTGAGCCAGCACTTAAATGACCATGTGCATGAGCTAAAAAATGTTTGCTGCTTTGTATCTACCCTCCAAATCACTCCAGACTCTCTCCCTGTGGCCCACCATAACTGGAATCATAAAGGGAATTCTGGGAATGTAGTTCAACCTAGCCAAGTTGTCACATTATAAAGTCACTGCATATACTAATCAACTTTCCATCAGCCCACTCTTTGGCACCTATATTTTTAGAATATTTCACAATTTTTGTCACATCTTTTTGTACCTGACCTTCAAACTACTGTCTTCCATATGTTTTCTCTCTATGGCTTCGCCACCTTTCTTACCAACGCCACCATATTGTTAACCTTCGAATTAATGAACCTCAAAATAAGTTTTGACATATTGATCTCTTCTATGCTTCATATATTGCCTGTTGCCAACTTTTTCTGTTTTATTCACAGATTCTCCTCTATATTTCCAGTTAGTAACCATTTTCTGGTTTGGATTCTTGCCATGTCCCTTTTTCCACCACCAAACTTGTGTAGTTCAGCTATTTTCACTATTGAATCTTTCATCTCTGCTAAAACACTGTATTAGGTTTCTCTAGAGAAACAGAATCAATAGGATATAGATGGATGGATAAATAGATATATAAGAGGAGATTTATTATGGGAATTGGTTTGTGCAATTATGGAGATTAAAAAGTCCCACGATGTGCCATCTGCAAGCTGGGGAACCAGGAAACTGGTGGTATCGTTGAGTCTAAGTCCAAGGGCCTGAGAAGCAGAGGAGCCAATGGTGTAACTCCCAGTTTAAGGCTGAAGGTCTGAGCACTAGGAGCTTCAATGTCTGAGGTCAGAAAAAGACGGATGTTCCAGCTCAGGAAGAGGAAGACAGAATTTGCCCTTCCTCCACACTTGTGTTCTATTAGGGCTCTCAGTGGGTTGAATGATGCTTACCCACATCGGTGAAGGCAGTATTTTTACTCGGCCTATTGATTCCAATGCTAATCTCTTCCAGAAACACCCTCGCAAACACATCTAGAAGTACTATTTTACCAGCTACTCGGCCATCTTGGCTCAGTCAATTTGACACATAAAATTAACCATCACAATCCTTACTTCATTATTCCAATTTCTATTTTTAGTCCTTGTTCATATTAAAATTCAAAATTCACACACACACACACACACACACACACACACACAATGAAACCATTTGTTTTCTATTAAGTAGTACCTGAAAACTACATTTTTCATGAATTTTTCTCACATTGCTATAAATAGAAGGCATCCAGAAGACAAGCAGGCAGTATTGCTGGAGTGGATTTATTGTGTAAGA